GCACAGCAATATCTCACCCAAGGAGGCTTATTGTCGCCCCAAACAAGCGCCAAGTTAACGAAATTGTTGAGCGGCGGCCTCTCTGACAATTGCGAATACTCGGGCTGTGGTGTTGCAAAGTCCATCCTCTCACCACTCACGGCGGTACACGTGAGATGTACCGGAAACGCCAAGACCCACTGATTGCAGCACTGCCCGCCTCCAAAATGTGCACTGCCTCTTAATTCACTGCATAATGACGTTAAGTGTCTGAAATGAAGTACTTGCTTCTTTTTCGCGCGGTGCTTTTGTTGCGTGCTTGGCGCGTTTGTGCGAAATATCAGTTGCCCGAGAGAGAGCCTTGCATCTTGGATGCGCTAAGAGTGAGGCGCAGTTGGGGGCAACTGCAGAAGACTGGTCGAGAGGCCCGGGTTTGGGGCGCTCTGAAAATCTCTGAAATTACTTGACATCTGACTGAAATATTGTTTCCATCTCTGGTATTATTTCGGTCATATTGCAATTGCGCTCTTGCTTGGTAAAAACAGTGAATTATCCCAAAAGATGCGGTGGAACTCACTCCTTCGTTTCGACTAGCAACTTTTGGGTCTCAACACAGTGCTGAATTTGTCGCGTAATAAATAGCCCAATTGTAGGTGGTTGCCTAGGAATCCGATGTAGTGTATTCAGCCAGGTCTACTCACCTGTAGAAGATGAGATTTAAAAGAGAAAAAAGAGAAATAAAACAACAATAACGCGTAGGAGATCGGCGTACCACTGCTGCAGCGTTACATTCCTTCATTTTGGCCTTAATCTTCGAGAAGTATTGATCGATAGCAAGCCCACCTCTTGTACCTCTACTCTTTATACCTCAAGTCACACCATCTGGGGAAAAAGTAGAATACCAAAAAAAAAGAAGAAAAAAAAGAGAAAAACAACCCAGCTCTATTCAATAAACATGCCCCTAGTCCCTCTCAGCATAAAACAAATTCCATCTCTGTGCCAAGAAGATCAAGATTCGCGTCATCTCCGTCCATGAATCCATCTACGTAAATATCGCCAATGAACTCATACTTTCCCTCTTGGTTCGTGGGTCGAATGACAATCGGAGTTGAGCATCCGTATGCGATGACGACCAAATCATCAACACCCATGTACCCTGTTCCCATTCCCATGTATCCTCTCTTTTCTTCGCTCTCGAGGAGACAAAAGCAGCGCCCCATCATACGGTCTCCGAAGTATTCCTGGAGGAACTGACGTCCTCTAAGGAGTTTGCGCCCCTTCTTTTGGTGAGACTGTAGTTCTTCGTCTAGAGGCAGTCTCCCCAAGCGTTCTCCAAGATATTCGGCAAAAACATCGAAAGTAACCTGCTGCCACTGGTCCACTTGTGGCAATTCGGTACCAGAAGAATCTCCTTCGATCGAATGCTCTGGAGACTCTATGAAGCCGTACTGACGATCGAGTGTCGAATGGACATCATCCGGAACGTCGCCCAAACATAAGGTCCGGCAAAATGCTGCTGTGTGGCCTTGGTCATAATGTTTATCGTCAAGTAAAATGTGTCTCCACTCCAAAAAAGCCATGAGGTAGTTGGAAAGTCTACCAAGCGTGCCAACAGCCATCCCCCTTGCCGTTATGGTGCCAATCTGGATCCCAGGTATTCGTAGCTCATCTGCGTTGAATTCTGGCGTATTTGAAGAAAGAGCGAGTTGCATTGAAGATGCCACATATGGGTGGCGATGGGAGAGATGAGTCGCAGCAAGGGACAACGTGTCAGGGGAGTGCGACCAGTCCGGGACCCAACTGGGCAAGCCAAACGAATTCTGGTGGTATGGGTAACGTATGGATTCGCATATTATGTCGTAACGTCCGGATATTCTGCAGATGCATTTGACAATCTCTGTGAAGATTTCTTGTGGCGTCTTATGGAAATTGGGTTGAAACGTTTGCCTAATATCCGTCGGTAAAAGGCTGAAGACACCAAGAATCTTGTCTTGAGGTCTGGCAGCTAGCTTGCTCCTGCAGATGCGGAGAATCTCCAAAGGACTTCCTGATAAGTTTGTTGATGGTTCTAGCAAAGCATTCGGGCCTTGTGTCGTCAAAATCTGCGCATGTGAGTAGTGGTTCTCTGAAGTGATGACCACTGTCCCGCCAGGGAAGGAGGCTTCGATGTGATGAGCAATGCTGCGAAAGATTTTGCACGCCGCGAGAATTTCGTCCAAAGGTATAGAGTTTGAACCACAGTGTACCATAACTCTCTTGGCGTGAAAAACCTCTTGAAGGACCCAGAGCCTTTTCCAATAGTTCATTTCAAATAACTGAACAACGGCCGCGATTTGCTTTTCCGACATGGTCCAGTCGACGGAATGAGAGACGTTCGTATTGGATACTTCCCGCAACCAACTGAAAGCTAGGTCACTCGTTTCCTCGAAAGGGGGAGGTCCTAAGCAAACTGCAACAGTTTCAGCTTTGCTGTAGATTGAATCCATGATTCGAACTTGAGAGCTGAGCTCATCGGCGTCGTCCTGATTGATTGATAACGCATCGACCCAAATGCGCACTGCTTTATCTTCTTGCCTCAATGCAGTCAAGGCATGCCACAAACTTGCAGTAATTCGGATGGTCTCTCCGTTTAACATCATAGTCTTTTGGCGCCTGCGGTTTCCCCACGCGTAGGATATCGCAATATAACTTGGCGGCGTTTCCAACGTAAAAGATGCAAGACACCCTTCAATAGAAGTCTTGTGGTCTTTTGCGGGAGACAGGAGTAGTAATCTGATTTTCCCATGTTGAAGGGGGTTGTAGCTTGATGCCGTTAATGGAGGGCCGTAGCATGATGCAATTGAGGGGCGCTGTGGAGGACGCTTCATTGATTCTGGATAATGTTCAAGAATAGTTTTATTTGAAGCATCTCGTCGTCGTGCGAAGGGTTCCTGCGTGCTGCCTGTATTTGGGCCGTTGTTGCTGGAAGATGCTTGCGTCCTCCGTCTAAGTGGTGAAGGCCTCTGGAACGTCATGGAAGGTGCGCCTGCATAACGCTTGGGCGCGACCCCATGGAGAGTAGCTTTACTGTCGTCGCCCCTTACCATGGCGCCCAAAATGATATTGTGTTGAGAAAATGAGCACTGACAACTTGAAATGCCGGATATCCAGCATACAACTTGCAGCCTGATGTACTTGCAGCCTGATGTATATATGTAAGCTGAACTGCGGGGTAACGGTGCGAGCTTTAGTCAGAAGGTTGGGCTTTTTCCAGATTTTAGACGCTGCGACACGCTTTTCAGACAACTATTGGTTGGTCGTTTGCTACGCTGTCCTCATTGGCTATGCCAACATCACCTGTATATTGGCCAAGGCAGAGGCAGTCGAGCTTCGCTCCCTCATGATTGGTCTTCATCTGATAATCCATTTGGTGACAAAATGTGGTGGAGGCAAACTTTAGTTCATTTACCCCAGGTGTAATAATTAACTACTCATTGTCAGCGTGAAATTTTGCCCTGTAGTTTATAAGTAGGTACCTTACTTAGGTATGAATAGAAGCTTTAACACAATAAGCTGCTTAACTTTAGAGACTGCTGTTTCAAACGCTAGTGATATGTAATTATCATCTCCATTTTACATGTCGAACTCAAAGTAGAAGCAGACGATGAGGCCTAGGTGTGATGGACGTATGCACAACACCTTCGATTGTGAACATCTCCAAGGCTCAGACGGTTGTTATTTGACTTGTTGTTGACTCAGCGAAGAGTGACTCAAGAACTTCTTTGTCTTCCCGACCCCATGCGTCAAAACACCCAATCCGCTTATACTTGCCTTTTTCCTCCATTGACTCAACCAACACAAGATATGAAGACCACCGTGAAAAATCGATATCTCTGCGGAACACATCGGAGAGTTGGTGAGGAACTGACCTCATAATATTCAAGTCTCGAACCCCAGCTTCCAATATGTGGGCCTCTGATTCTTGCTTGCGTCTGGATATTTGCGTGGGCTTGCTCACGCCAATTACAACACCTTCCTCTCTATAATCCAGCTTGAGATCTTTCGTCCGAAGAAGCAACACAACGATGTCGGTCAATTTGCAGCCGCGTCTCTGTGTCAGTCCGGCAACATCGTCCGGCTCAAATTCGATAGACCAGCGATAACCATGCTTCTCTAGCGACAAGGAGCAAATATCCTGGACAGTTCCGTCTTCGTATGTACCTTGCGCAGAGTCGAAGTCTAGTCCGCGGACCATGCAGCCATGCAAGATGATAAATCCGGAGCACAGTTGGCCAGTCGGCTCGTCTGGGATGATAGGCACCGTTTGAGCTTCGATGACGTTGGCGTAAGGTACCAATGGTGTGCTCGGAAGACGGGTGAGATAGGAGATTGGTCCTCTCAAGTGTGCCCGACTCCAAGTGGGAGCGACATATCCCCCGGATTCATGCCAGTCTCCTTGCTTGTTACGCTCTTTTAGCACGGACATCCAGGCTTCCACGTCTTCCGTGTTTGTATGTCCTATGTTGTCAACGTTTCTTCGATTAGTAGCTTTCATAAAAGCCTCCAGATCTGATGGTGATGGTGGCTTCCACGCCAGCTGAGTCACCAAGTCCCCTCTCCAGAGTCCGGCGAGGTACTCGTCCGGACCAATTTCTGAAGCTTGAGCTATCAAACGTTGGAGCCTATCCACAAGAACTCGAAGCGCCGGCATTTTATTCGACTCGTGCGCCAACGATCGCTTTGCATATGATCGAACAATAAGACGCCAAGCGTCGTAAATGCTTTGCATGTCGTGTTCACGCCCTGGGGACAGTTCTTGTTTGGACAGGCCAGACTCCCGACGGCACTCACACTCCATGAGGGTATCGCTGTAACGGGCTAGAGCCCGGCCGAGATCTCCGGCTTTGCCGGAGCAGCTACCGAGATCCAGCTCCGCCGAATCCACTATTCTGCTGTAGCACACCGCCTAGCCCCGGTCTGCATCACTGCTGCTAGGCGCCTATCCCTGTAAAGTCCTTTCCTCCTTCTTCAGCTTAGAATAGTCAATCGACGGCACCTCTACGTTGAACAAGCCTAGGGGCCAGCCCCTTACAATCGCACTCCCATGCCATCTCGTCACTCGTTAAATGCAGCACGCGTCGGCTCATCAGCCTTTCCTGCATTGTCCACCCTCTTGAAACAATGGGCTGGCTCAAATCCAACGCGCGACCCGACACCGTTGGGTGAGGTTGCGGCTTGATGAGCACCATCGGAGTGACATCTCCTTCGGGGTCGATGTAGGTACGATACTCAAGCTTCGAGAGGGCTTGGTCGGTTTGGAAGAGACCCTGGGTTGCTGAGTTGCTCCCGTCGGCACTGAGAGTGAGGGTGGCACCAGAGTAGACCTCACACATGAGCGCCGCCTCATGGGCCCAGTCTTCCGCAGAGTCCTGTATGATGCATAGGCGGTCTACCCAAAGATATTGTAGATCGAGATTCCTGGCCGCATGGATTGCATCTCGAATTGTACTCGGCAAGCTGTGGATTTCGATGCCTTCGAGATGAGAGTGGTGATTCTTTGTCGTGGTAATCAGTCCAGGCGCCCCTGAGCCCCAGCAATAGCCGAGAGCCGCGTACTCGCCGCTCTCGCCTTGAGTTTCTCGGAGGTAAACTCGGCCTTGATCGCCCCCGCTAAGATCTAGTACTCGTGTTGGCAAGAAGGCTGGCCCCGGTATGCTGCAGATTGTATGCCGTTCACAGCAGTTGTCTCGCCACTTCTTTGCCAGGAGTAACGCCTCATCTGAACCCGAAGTAGGTTGGACCTTTGCAAGGCTCGCGGGTTTAAATCTCTGCTCATCTACAGTTAGGGGGTTGATACCCATCTCATGAGACCATTCTTGGCGGAGTTGTCAGCCAATTCGGTGGCAAGCGCTTCTAATGTCAAGCAAGGAGACTTACCCATCGGTAGTCCGACTTGCAACTCTCGTTCCATGCTGCCAACATTCTGGCTTTTTCTGGTCAACTGTTCACCATGAAGCTCAAAGTCGCTTTCTCGGCATCAATGTCCGCAACGACTGCGATTTCCAGCCAACTCGACCATGGCTGTCTCACCCGAATGGTTACTCTTGTATCTTCATCCGGGGGCCACTGAATGTCGTCCAAGGGATGTTGTAGCAGGGCAGTCCATACAAACGAGCAGAAGCCATAGGCCCTAGCTTCCCCGACCCGCTTGAGAGTCGCGCCCGATGCTGAAAACTCTCTGTATGGACCCCGGAAGTTGTCGCCCGGATGTACCTCCAGTAGTACCACCCCTTCACAGACCGCGCAGATTGTCGGCAAGAGCTGAACTAATCGATGGTCTTGGTTATGAGCAATTCCTTGACCTAGAAGCACGACACATTCTGAACAGGAGTCGATTTGTTCCGAGACGCAGTCCAGACAGGAGTATCGAGGTCCAGAGATTCTGTCGTCCTTGTTGTCTGTGGCGGGACACGTTGGGTTGTCACAGCAGGCGTCGTCGTGTCTCAACGGATCTAGAACGAGGCGATCCTCGAGGCCATTTATGAGTTGATAGACTGGGTTCGTTATCCCGTCGGGGATTTCGTCGAGTCGTTTCAATGGCATTTCGCAGAAGAGTAGCACATGCGACTTTTCAATAAAGGGTAAGATATCCATGATGATGATGTAAACCCTTTGACCTGTTTGAGGCGTATTTGAATGGACCGGTTTCAATCCTGATGTGGAAAGTAGCACCACTTCATGTGTTTTCTTGCAGTACGAGCTTCAGGCTCCAGCATTTCGAGCGACTGAGAATTGGGCATCCAGACGGTCGGTGGTTCCGCTTACGTTGTGTAGCGCCCTAACATAGCCCACCAACTGAACCGATGCCATGCAAGGGTCATTCACAATATCACCCGACGTTTTTTGAAGGCACCATGCTCGAGACCGTAAGCACCAGCGAAATGTCTACACAATCTGGGGCCTATACTTCACTGTACTTTACCACCGAAATTTGACCCAGTTTCTTTAAATGCAGTCATGTCAACCTTGTGGTGGAAATGGAGACCCCAGTTGCGTCATCTTCTATTAGGTATTATGTTGATTCGCGCCCATCGCGGTCAAGTCACCTTTTCTACAAGCAGCACCACTAATCCTGACAACTTCGTGATGATGTTTTCTGTCCTCATGAATGAATATCCTCCTAGGTTTTGATTGTGATCATAAACGCGCTGCATTTGTCCCTTTCCTACGTCTCTCCTTCTTCCTCATAGTTCAGAAAGATGTGTTCGAAGGAGCATGCTATCTAGTAACCGTAGCCACCACCGCCACCACCACCCGTGGACGGGGGGGAAGAGTTGCCCTTGGGCGGTGCACCACCACCGCCGCCGCCGCCGCCATACTGTCCACCGGGTGAGTTACCCTTGGGAGGGGCAGATGGACCGTTGCCAGCCGGGGGAGAGTTGCCCTTCGGAGGCACACCGCCCCCACCGTACTGTCCACCGGGTGCATTGCCCTTGGGCGGGGCGGCCGGACCGTTGCCGTTCGGCACAGTAGGAGCATTGCCTTTAGGCGGGGAAGACGGACCGTTTCCGTACTGCCCGCCAGGAGCACCGCCCTTCGGCGTAGGAGGAGCAGGACTGTTGCCTGATGCTCCGGGGGCTGACGGACGCGGAGGAGGTCCGATAGGCTTGCCTCCTCTAATCTCATCGGGAATGTTGGGGACTGGACCCTTGCTGGCGACCCAAGTGTCGACGTTGCCCTGGTCGGAGGCAGTGAAACCGGACGGAGCCCAGCGTGCGGGAAGTGACTTTGTGCATTCCGTCAAGTCGTTGATGTTGTAAACGCCCAGAAGAGAAAGACGGACGTATTCGTGAGCGTAGGCCTGATGCAAAGTTAGGACGTCCATGAGAGAAGTATCAGCAGATGAACTTACCGCGTTCCACGCAGCTTGGCCACCAGGACCGGCAAAAGCAGCAAACTGGGCGCTTGTGCTAGGGTACTTTGATAGTGCAACGTCGCTGTTGAACTTGAATACGCGCGGAGGGGCGTTGCCGATGGTTTCGGAGTAGAACTTGACATCCCACACACCAGGGGTGCTGTCCTGGGGGTCGCCAGAACGCGAAGGGTCGACAAAGCGTTGTTGACTGGTCGTGTGCGCACCAATGAGCGAAATTAGGCCGTACGAGCTGATGGTTTTATTGTTGAAAAGATCGATTAGGGCATCAGCTGGGCTGTTGACGTCGGGAAGGAGGTTGGGAGGAGCAGCAACTGATGAATCCTTTCTTCCAATGAAGGTCCTGACGCGGGGACCCAGGGGGCACACAACGGTAGCAGCGTTTGCGGAGAACTGGATGAGATCCGCCATGCTGATTCCGTATTGCTTGTATTTGTTGTACCACGTCTTGGTTTGCTCGATAATTTCTTCCAACCCCTTGTTCTCGACGCGGGATGCTTCAGAAGAGGACAGCACAATCGAGCCGTCAGCGCCACCGAGGTTGCCGGTTCCCTTGGACCAACCAGCAGCATCGTGGAAACCGAGGCGAATCGCTGCGCGAGCGAAGTCGGTGCAACGGCCCGATTCACCTCTGAAAGTGGTTGCGAGGTCGTCAGCGATGTACTTCCAGATGCAACAGGTGTCGGCAGCGCAAGCTGGTGTGTCTTTGGCTGGTAGCGCGCCATTGTTGGGAGCAGGAGGACTACCGCCGGGAGCGGGCGGCTTGCCTCCCGGTGGGGCCGGAGGAGGAGCGCCACCGGGAGCAGAAGGACTACCGCCTGGAGCAGGTGGCTTGCCTCCTGCAGGGGCCGGAGGAGCGCCGCCGTATGACCCACCTCCCGGGACCGAAGGTGGGGCGCCACCGGGAAAAGGAGGCTTGCCACCGCCAGGAGCAGGAGGAGCGCGACCTCCGGAAGCTGGAGGGGAACCGCCGCCGCCAGACGGAGGAGCGCCGCCTCCACCACCACCTCCAGAAGGCGCACCACCTCCGCCGCCGCCACCACCCCCGTAACCGTAGTCTCTGGGATGGATAGGGGCGGATCTCTTCTTGCCGGAAGGATAAGCCTCGTCGCTCTCGGCGTTGCCAGCACCAGAAAGGAGCTGCTTGATGTTCTTGCCTACAGGCGTGAGCTTCGAGTCGTCAAGCGTCGCAAGATCGCCAATGATCTCGGTCGACTTGCCGCCGTTGGAACTGCCCTGACGGGCCGCGATCTCGGCGAAGGTGTTCTTCATGCCAGGGTAGCCAAAGACAGGAGCTGCCACGAGGGCTGCGGTGAGGATGGAAACGCGCATGATGAGACGGCGAGACCAGCTGGCGGATAATTAAGAAACGAACGTGTGTTTAGAAGCGAGAGTGTAAAAGAGAGGAGTTGTGTTAAGTATGAACGAATGTACAGAGACTCAAGCCCGAAGCCGATGTGTTCTGATGCGAACCAAGACTTATGATTGCGGGAGTTGTTGGTCCTTTATATGTTGAGTTGTAGTTCGAAGAATTTCCCCTTCCGGAACCGGTCTTACGATGCAAAACCACTCCGTCTTTCCAAAGTCAGGCTGAGGAGAGCCGTGAACTGATGCTAACATCGGATTACTTCAAAAGGTCCTGAAGCACGTTGACGCCGGCCTTTACCATGGCGCCGGTGTGGTGGTCGACTAGTTGCACTACGGCTACATTGAGCCGGACGCAATCCTGGAATGCCGGGTGTCGGATGCGATCTTGCTTAGCCTCTCCTTTTGGTCAGTATGTGAAACTCGATCGGGCTCGTGGTTGCTAGCTACCGTGGTCTCGTAGTCTGCGGGGCGTCGTCGAGAACCGTGGGTGGCTTGCACCAACCTATGGAAAGCTTGACATTGTCATGCTTGTGTATGCATCGTTTCTTTGGTCTTCAGACCATCTTGTAGCTTATGTATTGACTGGCCATAGCATTGGCAATGGTAACTGAATCTTCTGGCCTTGATGAGGTGTTGAGCTGCTCAGATGCTCGTGCATGATGCGTGACAGCTGCCATTGATGCTCACATCACGTCTGCGCACCTGCCAACCCCGTCTGAGTGACTGATTGACTGTTGACAGACATCCCCAGACTTGCCATGAAAATAGACTTGCGTCTAGGAAGTTTCCGGACTAGCAGATCGATGAAGAAAAGGGGCAACTGTCTTAGCGCAATGAACCGTTCGCACATTAGCCGTTTGTGGCTGATCCGATGTTCTGTTTAATACGAATTGGCTTTGCCTAGTCGCAAAACGCCCAGATTAATTCGAATTCACCTGAAACGAGATGGTCATCAGCAAAAACGCCATAGGCCTAGATAAACAGCGCTAATAAGCTTATTTCTTTCCAAGAGCTCTTGATGTTAGAATAACGCATCTCGGTGGAATAACTATGACCGCATCCTGACGCGTGCAATTCATGATCTTTTGGGTTGAATGTTGCAGCTATACCCGAATGTCATGAAAGACGTTTCTGCCGTAGAACATTGTGGGGTTATCTTCCTGGCCGAGGAAAATGCAGCACACTGCGCGATATGCAAACTATACGAGGGGCACATACAACCTGCGACTTCATACCAGAAACAAGCAGTGAAACTCGTGAATCTCGTCTTAGCGCAGGTATTCCCAAGCTACTGTGCGACTCGAGGACTTGTCCGTCCTAAAGGAAATGTTCGTGCTCCAGCAGCTGCGAGCGACGATCGTCTGCCGGCTCATTACCGAAACTGTTCGGCCAACAGACCAGCAAACCGCCCGTTGAGGTTCGGCATGTCACGCATGTAGCAACGTTCTGCGTCGTCGACCGTCAGAACGAGCCTCAAACTCTCTGCGCAGATCCCTTGTCCACGGCATCAGCGACGATCGCCGCGCCCGCAGCTGTCACGATTTGTTTCCGAGCAGGCCGCAACCCCATGCCGCAGTGTCTGGCTCTTGCGGCCGATGGAACACAGATCCGGTTTCGTTTCGGCGATATTTTTGGGATCGCGGCCGTCGTTCGGCATGCCACCCATGACATGGATCTTAGTCAGGTAATCCCCTCGTCATGACTAAACCACATACCTTTCCACGTCGTGCCTACTTAGTTGCCTTGACGAGTTAGACTGGTTCCTGATTCGCACAAGCAGTCCTAGCCCACGTGAGAGTTCACCTAGCTTGGACTGTAAACACAGTTGATGATTCACAATGCGGGGAGTTGTTGAGCTGTTGTTTTCTAGTTGCTTGAGTTTATGTGTATGGAAAGGTAGTAGTTTTCACCACGGTTTGTGGTTTTGGGGAGGGTATCAAATTATGCTGGCTGGCGGCTGTATTTTGTCTATTACATGCAAACGCACATACGCCGATGTGTCCGTCCTCGCTTCTCCATGCAGTCTATGAAGCAGACGCTTTTCGCTGATATGTGAAGCCGAGCAGGATATTATGGGTGCAAAGGCTGTGTGCCTGCGGTAGGCGTCGGCCATGAAAGACCATTGTATTACGGTGGTGTGGTGTCCTGCACCTGGCGTCGTAGAGTCGTCGAACCTGCACTGCGTCGAACCTGCAGTGCAGCTTCGTGTGAGGTCGGGTGTTGAGTGGAGTGAACTTGTGTCGATGTCCATTATCTGTACGCTGACGGAGCATTGTTAGATACCGGGCTAGGTAAAATGTGATATGGTTGTGTCGGACTTACATCGACCCTCGCTGTAGTTCTTCATTTCCTGTTGATCCAGTAGATGAAGCCCCCAACCCCAAAGATACATGTCGCAGCTGCCACCGTATTAGTCTACATCGTGGAAGACCCGACGGAGTGTCACGCCGACTTACCAACTGCTAACGTCTCCAGCACCGTGTGATCAACACTCCTCTTCATCAACATCGTCCCAACCTCAACAGCTCCCTCCTGGAGGAGCCTCGCATCGATGACGGGCATGGCGGCTTATGAGAAGAAGAAAACGTCGGTAGTGATACTGTTTAACAATGGACAAGAAAAGAACTGGCCGGGTATGTAATGTCGATCACCGGGATCAAGAAAGAATGGGTTGGCTTTTGTTCCTCCGTGGACGACACTAAAAACAGATCAAGAACCGCCTCGACTTACACGGGAGAGCAGCAGCGCGGCATCCATACATATAAAAAACCACAAAAGCAAGTCTTGGGGAACCATCGAAATTGGCCCCCCCCCCCCCCCCCCCCCCCCCGGTTCCGCCATCACCCCTGTGTCTGTTTCCCCGAGGTCTCCGCCCCGTCGCAACAAATGAACTGCGCAATCACCTTATCGTGGGGACCACCGCGCCGTCCGCCTCAGCGTCCCGGGGGCTGGGCTGTCGAGAGAAGCAAGGCCAAGGGAACCATCTCCCTTCCCCCCTCCCTTAGCATGAAGCGCGCGTCTGGGTTCGCACAAAACTGCCGTTGGGGTGGCCGTCTACGACACGCGTGGGCTTGGGAATGGGCTCATGTCATCTCATTTCGGGTTTCAGTAGGGGGCAGCTCATGCAAGGTCCCACGTTATCTTGGCTTTTGCCCAAATACCACGAACGGGGAGATAGGTAGTTGTGTGGCCCTGGGCAAATCACCAATTAGAGCTCCCCTCCGTTCCGCAACTTTTTGGATGTGGTCTGGGTTCCTGGGTCCCGGTACCCATTGAGTAAGGTAAAAGAAAAAAAGGTGTGGTTTCGGGGCCGCGTTCCTTAAAACGGGCTGGACCCGACCGGGGTGTGCACTTTGATGGATGGGTTTGGGCGGGCGGTTTCTGTTACCGTACAGTACACCGCCACATACGACGACGAGTTTTGAAGCAAGTCGACGCGGCCGATTTACGGATCTGCGAACGACTCGGCTGATGATGGAAATCATAAAAGATACTCTGGATTCTTTTTGGTTCTGCTAGGTTCGAACTCACCAAGGGCCCGGCTGTGTGGTTCGCCATTTGCATATGCAGTGTTAGTCTGCGGTGCGCGGTGCGATGTGTTGCTGCCGCCGCTTTCGTCCAGTCCAACATCTCACCTCATGCCCGTCCTATTCTCTTCACAAGCCTGAAAAATCACCAGACATACCTGGCTTCGTGCTCCCATCGGCATCACTTCAGAATGTCACAAAACCGCGTGGTCCTGCCGCGAGTCCTGCGGCGGAAGCACATCAGCTCGGTGGGGGGGGATCTCACCACCAGCGCACCCAACGACCCGTTCCAGCCTCCTGAAACAAGGAGGATCTGCGGGTAAAAAGGTCGCATGAACCCCTACTTTACAGCACGCTTAGTGGACGTCTTCCCCCCCTGAGCCCTGGCGCATCTGCCCATAATCCCACAACCCGGCGACACGGGGACATTTATTAGACGACGACGACTGCCTACCAAGTACCAAACGCAGACGCCACTTACTGTCTCGTCGGGACACATGCGTGTGAGTATGTGCGGCGCTTTCAAACCGATTCCGCAATCCACATGCCTTATTGTTTAAAAACCGGGCTTGTGGTTGGAAACGCGGGGGGGGGGGTGGAAGGGGCCCTTTTTCTCTCTTCTCTTACTTTGGTGGTGATGGTGTGTGTGACTTGGTTGTCGGAGAATATGCATGTCTTGTGCCAGGAGACTGGATAAGGTCGTCACCCATCTCGAACGAAAAAAAAAAAAAGCCAAGATGAACAAGCCCGAAAGGCAACATGGATCTTGGCAGCTGCCCACCACCACCACCATCCGTTTTCCCCGTGACAGGCTTCGCGACAGCTTGGCTGCTTGGCTTTGGCCTTGGCTGTGGTCTTTTCTTCTTGAACGCTGCCATTCAGAGTTTAGATGATCAAACCTGGTGTAAGCAATTTTCGAGACTTGGAGGCTGAACAGCGTAAGTTGCTACCCGTCCGGCAGATTCGGGCGGTAAATTGGAGGGTCCACTGTGTAAGAGCGCCAAGGGAATTCTAGATCTGGCTGTTGAATTTCAAATTCATCAGCCGGTGACTTGGTAGGCGCCGTGAGTGTGAATACACACTTTCCAGATGTTGATGACTGGAATTTGAAGATCGAATCTGCCGTCGTCGAATTCTCCGTTGTCTCCGTGCTCCGGTATGTCACAGAACCGCACCACAGGCACCGAAGCCACCATGGCTCAAATTTCACAGGATATACGGAAGGATCTGGGTCGACAGTTGAAATTCGAAGCCCAACCCCCCCAAAAATCCTCCAAAGCCATAGCCTGAGTGACTAAGGCATACTCTATCCCAATGACAGCCTCTCTTAGTCCTCCCGCCTCGGACTTTATTCAACTCCTTCTTCCCGTTCTCCATGGCCTTCCAAGCCATGTCCCTGAACTTGTTCGTCGATGCCCTCACTTCTCACACAAGCCTGGTTTTCAAGCATGACGACGCAGTTACACGAGACCACGGCATAGTGCAGAAGCCAGCCGAGACTTGCATTACCGCCTCTCTTGGCGGGAAGAAGCGTCAGCGGGGATGGGTGGACCGCGGGCCGCTGCCCCACACACTCACCCGCATCTCGAGATCTCGGGATCCCGTATCGCCCCGGTTGCATATCGAGGCAACAAGAAAAAGAAAGCAACGGCACATTTTCCAGCAGTCGCATATTCTAGTCCAGCCTTGTTGACGTGTCCTCGCATCAAGCCTCTGCTAGCATTTCCGCGCCGGCGTGGGTGCATGCCTCCTCCGCATGTGACCCATGTGGGGTTAGCTTTTCCAGAGACACACATCCGACATCAAGATGGTGCTAAGAGGCAGTCTAACACCCGCATAGCTGCATTGCCAACACTGCTCTATGCCGCTCGCCTTCCGGCTCTGATAAACCACGAGTCCATCTCATTTTCAACCATTCGTCTTTGCCACTAGATATTTATCAAGGCAGGCGACCCTCTTTGCAGCGAACATTGGGAGGGAAACTTCATGCGGGAAAACGGGATCCTCGATATCCCCGAACCCGTGTTATTCGTCTGAGCCTGATGTTTTTTCCGCGACGCATCAAAGCCGAAAGAAGAATCGTGTTTTGTCACAGGCCAAAAAGCGTCTGAGCACCACCGCCCTTCTACACACCTGTGTGGTAGACTGTCGCCTCCCCCGGGAAACCCGGCCTAATTGAATGAAAAGAGAGGAGATCCAGATACAGAAACAGAGCAGTCCAGGAAATCCCAAGGCAGAGGATCTGCATCTCTCATTGCCGCGAAAATGAAGCCTTGGAGGACATCAGCCCTCCTCACAGCCCTTTCGGCGTTATCCACAGCAACAGCAACGGAACGATGCGCCCCAGAAACGTTCGCCCTCCCGCAGCATCCCCTCCCGGGCGCTGTCCTGGTGAGGATCCTCGCGACGCCCGTCCGTGGGCTGCGCTTCACGCCCACGTCGCCCGAGGGCCGCGCAGCCATCCCGAGTTCGGGCGTCAGCTTCTGCAACGTCACGGTCGAGTACGTCCACGCGGGGTTCGAGGACCTGACGCGGGTGCAGGTGTGGCTGCCGCTGGCTGGTGAGGGCGGGACAGGTGGTTGGAACGGGAGGTTTGTCGGGGTCGGCGGGGGAGGGTACTCGGCGGGGCAGTTTGGCAGCGAGGCGTTTGGGGCGAGGGTCGCGCAGGGGTATGCGGGTGAGTCTCTTTTCTTATCTGGGTGTTCGCTTTTCGTTCCTATGAATTTGGCAGTGTCTCTGCGGTTTGCACGTGGGTTGGTTTGCAAAGAATGCTGAGGGCTGACCGGAATGCGTAGCCGCCGCGACGGATGCGGGGCACGACACGACAACCTGGGAAGAGGCGCCGTGGGCGCTGAACGCCGACGGGACGGTCAACTCGCGGCTGCTGGAGAACTACGCGCACGTCTCGGTGCACGACATGACGGTGATCGCCAAAGCGGTCATCACCCAATACTACGGCCGGGCGCCCGCGTACGCGTACTGGGCGGGCTGCTCGACGGGCGGGCGGCAGGGCATCATCGAGGCGCAGCGGTACCCGGCCGACTACGACGGGATCCTGTCGGGCGCGCCGGCGGTCAACCAGCCGAGCCTGATCGTGAGCACGTACTGGCCGCAGTTCGTGATGAACCGGATGGGCGTGTACCCGCACGTGTGCGAGATGGTGCTGATGACGCAATTCGCGGTGGAGGCGTGCGATGAGATTGACGGGGTGCGGGATAATGTGATTGCGGACCCGGATAAGTGCGACTTTGACCCGGCGAGCGTGGTTGGGCGGGAGCTGGACTGTGGCGGTGGGAGGGTGATGGAGATGTCGGCGGCGGCGGCAGAGATTGCGCGGGAGATTTGGAGAGGGCCGCACGACGAGGACGGGAAGCCTTTGTGGCTGGAGAAGGGGTATCCGATCGGGGCGCCGTTTACGGGGCGGTTCGGGCTCGGGAACGTGAACTGCAGCGTGCCGGGGGCGCCGTGTACGGGGCACCCGTTCCGGATGTCGGTGGAGTGGATCCGGAACCTGGTGCACAAGGACCCCGGGTACGAGGTGGCGGGGATGGACTATGCGGAGCTGGAGGCGGCGTACGCGCAGAGCCGGCGGGAGTACGAGGCGCTGATCGGGGCGAACGACCCGGACCTGAGCGGGTTCAAGCGGCGCGGGGGCAAGATGATTAGCTGGCACGGGCTGGCGGACGAGTGCGTGACGATGCGGACGTCGCGGGACTACTACGACAAGGTGCTCAAGAGGGACGGCCGGGCGGGGCGGTACTACCGGCACTTTGAGGCGCCGGGGGTGTATCACTGCTACGGGCTTAACGGGACGTTTTACCCGCTCAAGGGGCTGGAGACGCTGCGGGCGTGGGTGGAGGAGGGGGCGTTGCCCGAGGTGCTGGATGGGTTTAGGCTGAGCGGGGGTAACGAGAGCGAGGCGCCGACGAGGCCTTTGTGTGCGTACCCGGCGGCGGCGAAGTTCAAGGGCGGCGATGCGGCGAAGAGGGAGTCGTGGGGTTGTGAGAGGAAGGGCGGGTGGTACAGCACTTGGGGGCGGGATGAGTTGTAGAAGGACACGGGGGGGGGTCGTTGGAAGTGGATATAATTCATTATCAAAAGTAGTTACATCGCATAATACATATTGGTTTAGATGATCGAGGAGACACTGCTATTGCAAAGAAAAGAGGGATTAAACTTCTGATAGCGCCAGCGGAATTGCCGTAGCGCAACGTGATAGTGCCGTGGCTTGGGCTGAAGGGAGTTGCGAGTCACCAAGTGTCCTCCAGCTACGAGTATCACATTTGGCATTTGCCGGTGACAAACAGCAACAGCAAAACAGGCGATTGCTACAGCCACAATCAGGTGAAGTTGACAAACGGGAAACAACATCGGGGGATGAAAAGACGGGAAGCAGCAGGTGGAGCCTTTCCTCCGGATTTCGCTCCGCCAATGGCACCCGCCGAGAGAAGGAGCATCCCCGCCGGTTAGCCGTTATCTTCCCTTGGGCTGCTTGGGCGGGGCTTGGCTTAGCCCGAAGCGGAGAATCAGGGTCTCAACCGAAGGGCGCTAGCTCGTGGTTACATAAGCTCCGGGCTACCTGCAACACTTGTGAACTGCCCGAACCTGCAGAAAAACGTGACTCTGGAGGACGATTCGCTCCACTGGCGGAAAGCCGACGGGCCCAGTTGGCCTCAATCAGAGACACGATTGGACGGTTGGGGGTGTCGCCACCTGTGGCTTTCTGTGGTGCCTTCCCACAATTCACAGTTTTCAGGGTCCAGAGCACGCCGCTCCCCGCTTCTGTGCTGATGTTCGCATTTCCTGTGCCTGCCCTGCCATCCATGGGCAGGTGGGATTCATGGATGCCCGTAGCTCCTCCTCCTGATAGTGGCCTCTGGACCTGCGTGTGCCGTTGCTTCCCTTTCTGCCTGCATTTTGGCTGCGGCTGTTGCATTTCTTCGTGGCTTGCTCTAACAGAGGCAGAGGCAATTGCCGGTCTTGCTAAGTGGACAGGTCCTTCCTGGCTTTTGAGGCCCGGCCGGTCCCTTCCCTGGCACCTGCCGCCATGTCCGTCATTTTTGGCAAAGGAAAGAACAGGCAGGAAGTCGCCCCCTCCCCCTCGCCCCTCCTCCTTCTGCCACACACAGAGTTCAGGTACTTTCCCTTTCCCGTTCCCAGCCAGTTTAAAGAAAAGAGCGCTCGCTCGAAGAAACCTCGATCTCGATCTCTTGCTTCACGTCCGAAGATCGAGCACCACTCCCACTCACCCTCCACCGGCCGCATTCAATCCCTGGCCACCGTGTGCGCCTGTGCAGCACCCCAAGAGAACCGCCGAGAGGGCCGCTGCATCACTTTATTCGTTTACTTCATTTATCCTCCGGCGCTACCGCCGTCCGACCTCTGATCTGCTGCCGCCGTTCGATCGATCGTCTCGCTCCGCCCTCCGCGCGCGGTCGCAGCGTCGCGCAGCGCAGCCCACCCCCCGTGAGTGAGTGACGGACGCCGGGCCTGGCCGCTCCCGGAATCGATCAGATTCAGATACAGACATTTCGACTTTGCCATCATTTCCCCCATCCGATTCTTCAAAATTCCGTCCCACGCCATTACCGTGCGGCCCCACGTGCGAAGCCTCTGCTTTCGACCCGCCCGTGGGCCCCCGGCTCGATTGATGCCTTCCGGCCCCAAGAGTTCACGATCCGCTTCACCCTCGAGATCTGAGTCGTCGCCCAGAGGCCGTGATGCCGCCGGTATCCCCAAACCCAACCCGGCATCTTCGGCGGCATCCGGCTCCCGCGGCGACCTCAGTAGCGATGGAAAAGCAGACTCTGCCACCCCTCCTCGCCTCTCCTTCAATCACCTGAAGCAGGGCGAGAGCCATCAACGCGTGAGTCCTTTCTACTTCCTGTACTGCTTTCTGCCTTATCTGCTTATCATCCTTATCTACCCTGCCCACCTCCACCATCATCCTACAACATCCCCGTTTCCCATCAATCCATCAACTCCGTTCTAACATTTTAATCATCCTACAGATTCGCCATGGCGCAAAGCAGCTGCTTCGCCTGACGGAAAACTTCGCCGCCTACAATGGCCCCGGCCCCGACGGTGGTTATGACACCACCAACGACCAGGCTCTGCCCAGCGACAGCGACATACGCGCCATGACCAGGCTGTCACATGGCATCGCTCGCGACATCAGCCAGATTATGGCCCTCCGGAAGGATGACCCGGGCCACCACAAGCGAAAGAGCGTGGAGGAGCAGTTCGGCGCAGTCGGCCCTTCCACCAGCCAGGCCGGCATGGCCATGCCCGACTACGCGAGCACCGCCGGCCGCACCAAAAACCGCCGCAAGGTCGAGTTCTCGTGCCACAAGTGCCACCGCGTCGACACCCCCGAGTGGCGGCCCGGCCCGGACGGCCCCAGCACCCTCTGCAATGTCTGCGGCCTGATTTACGCAAAGAGAGAGCGCAAGAAAGAAGGTTCCACCATGCCGACCTTTGGTTCTCCCAACTTTTCTTGAATACCCATCGCCCAAGTGGGCGTGTGAGATGTGTGCAGTACGATTTCATTTTTACATATTGTGATGGCTGCGGGAGGCCTTGTGGATTATGAGATTTACATGTAAGATACCCCCCCCCCCCCCCCGCGATGAGGGACCCGAGAGGACCGTTCGTGTGTTCGTTTGTGTTGGAAAAAGGCTTTGCAAAGGGGTTTGGGAATGCTGGCGCAATCGGCGCAACTGGGACGACGGAACGTGGATATACCCGACAAGAACTTGATCTTTCTACCTTCTAATATCGTTTCTGTTTGTACCTCAATCCACCACCGCAACGTTACCTGAAGTGGTACGATGCTTGGCGCATGCGCTAAGCTCCTGGGCGAACCCCGCCCAGCTCACCAGTTCTCATCGACATATGTTGGGGTCCATATTTCGTCCCTTGCCCAACAGCAGAAAGCTCAGCTGAGGCAAGGGCCAAACCGTCCCATGCATGTCTGACTTTCAACGTCAAATGTCTCTAACGTTGTCAAGTACCGTGTTCAGCTGAAAGCCGAGGAGATGCTATTCTGGACACGGCAAAAGGAAGAGTTGCCCATCCCGCCCGGCGCTAGCTTCGTCCGCCCTTCCCTTCTCGCAGTCGTCGGGTACGAATGAGCATGAGAGGCACAGCGACGAGATGCCTCCGATAGCCGCGCCGGAGATGCGGGGAAAGGCGTCCCAGATCTGACCCACACACCATGTCAGCCCATCCCGGGAGAGGGGAGAGGAAAAACAAGAACGCCCACAAACGGCAATGCCAATGCTGAGCGGCTCCGCAGCCGATGTTGCATGCAGGCACAGAATCTCGTATTCTGTCCGTCACGCGGTTATGATGATTTTGGTGATGGCGATCCCACAACGTCATTTTTCATCTACTAAACCTCGTGTTCGTCCGGAGTGTCGTGACATCGTGGGTGGTTTGTTGAGGGGCGGGTTTGTCTTGGTTCGGCGATTTGGAGAGGGTGATTATCTGGATCGCTGGAGACGAGTGGTGTTGTCGGTGTGTGTTTGAGGGAGGATTTGGCGGGCTGTCAACCTCTTTGGGATAATGTCATGACAGTACGGATCGACCGCTCGTATTTTTTCTTGGGTCTGGGGCTGTAGGGCATATCGCCCGAGGAAGCCGACGACGTCTTGAAGTCTCTTCCGTCGTCATTGCTACCACGATCCAGGTATATAAGTCAACGGAGCTTTCAACAACTCACCTCCCGTTCTCATCATCAGCATCATCACAATCTCTACCTCCCACAACCACAAAACTCCAACCACCACAAAACCAAAAATGCAGCTCCCATCCCTCCTCCTCCCCCTCACCCTCGCCCTCGGCGCCGACGCCCTCGGCCGCGCCGTCGTCGTCAACCGCTGCCCGACCGAAGTCACCCTCTGGTCCGTCGGCGGCTCCGTCTCCGCCGCCAACACGCTCTCCCCCAACGGCGGCTCCTACGGCGAGACCTTCGTGCGGGACGCGACCACCGGCGGCAAATCCCTGAAAGTCACGAACGCACGGGACGGGCTGTACACCGGCGCCGCGCAGCTGAATTTCGCGTATAACCTGGACGGGAGCCAGGTGTGGTATGATCTGAGCACGGTGTTTGGGGACGCGTTTGCTGGGAAGAAGATCACGGTTAAGGGGAAGGCTGGGTGTGGCGAGATTGTGTGGGGTAGTGGGACGAATCCGGGGGGCAGCCAGGTGAAGGTTTGCGGGAGCGATGGGGATGTGACGTTGACGCTGTGTGCGGCTTAGGTGATGAACACCTTAGAATGGAGGGAGTCGGTGGATGGGGAGCAGGAAAGGGGTTGGAGAATGAGGATCGAGGATATAGTAATGCATAATGTTTGACTGCTTCGTGAGATTTGAGGTCCTTCGTTGACGCTGAACTGTGGGCGATGTGAGGAGAAATGTCAGGTATCGGGGTGATATGTCCGGATCGGGCAGACGGAGCGGAGCCGGCCTGTGGGGATGCCGTTGGCGGGGACCGGAGCGGGATGCGCTGTCCATCCACACGCGAGAGATGCCAGGCGTGTAGAAGTTTAGAATACACCAAGTTCCCATGGCAAGTAATAGCCACACAGCGAATTGATTGCACGAATCAAGGTCGTCAGTTGATATGTTCTATCCCGATCAGAATTGAGTGGTCAACCGTCGAGTTTCTCCAACACGATCCTGCTGCGCAGCCTCATCTTGGCAATCCTGATGTTTGGGGCTCGTCATTGGTGTATTATGTTGTGCTACTTGGGAATAAATTGAAGGGGATGGATGGGAGTGATGCAAGAGGCCAAGGCGAATAAAGTCTGTGTGATAGATCATGGTGCTCGCCTCCAGTGTCTTTTAGGGCCGACGCAAGGTAAACTCAAGTTATCAAAGTTATTCCATTCGAACAACGACCTGATTCTGCGCCCACGAAACTCAGTCTGGGAAAGAGAGGCCAATTTATGTACTCCAAGCCCTCTCGAAGGAATCCTGCGCTGTAGGGATCGGCGTGCGCAGAGTCATTTGGCGATTTCGCCTTTTGATACGTTTTCACTGCTGCTC